GATCGTCAAATTTAAGTCACACAGAACAACCTTAGCATTACTTCGAATTTCTCCATGCTAAGAGGAGTTGATCGTCAGGTCTACGCATTTGTCTAAATTGTCAACCACTAAAGACTTGATAAGTGGATTATTTTTAATGGTCAGAATCAAAATGTGTGGTACTGTTTATTTGCAACTTGATTTCAGCAGTATTTTTTACCGAGTTGTAGCTATCTGTAATATTCGGGATTTTGTACTTTCAACTGAATGAACTTAGATACCAGAACAACTGAACTAAGCAGAAGACTAGAGAAATTTTTGTTCTGTGTGAGAAAGAGGCAGGCTCTGATTCTTGTTGGGTAGCAGAGTCTCTCGATCGCGGACGAAGGTGACTTCATTCTGAATTATGTTAGTGACCTGTCGTAAGACAAAAGAACTTTATACGTCCGACTTATATAAACACAGGGATACGAAAATAGCACAAATACGGTTCACTGAGAGTAATAATACCACGAAAAAAACATTTAAGGAACAGTCATGACAAAACCTTTGATACATCAACCCCAGAATACTGCTTTTTATTATAAGCTAGCTGGTCAAATGTATTCCGTAAGATGATTTGTATATCAGCTTTCAACTCACCGACATGTTCATGGCAAACATTTGGAAAATCATCAGTATTAATAAGTGGATGAATGCAGTATTTAACTCCTAGGTAACTTGTTCAGGTTTTCTTCAAATTTCTGATTATTCATGAATTTCTTTTAGAATTTCGATGAATTTTTCTTCAAAATCAGTAGCTGTTGTAAGCTAGGTCTGTAGGTCGTCATTCATTATCTGCTCACTGAACTAAATAAGTTTTTATCACGTAGTGATATCAGCTAATGAAAACCTAAAAAGCACTTAAGAGCAGTTACACCATAATTTGGTATTTGTTAGTGATACACACTGATGGCTGATAACAGATGATATCGATAGCGGTTGTGAAATTACTTTCTGATCAGTAAATTTCAGATAAATTTATCCAACGTTTAAACTTCTTCCGGCCAGCTGAATGATAACAGCTATCTAAAGACCTTAAACTATCGAATAAATATTATGTTCAGTTGCGCTGAAATACCAACAAAGTGAATACAGATCCACTATCAGAATTACTTCAGGTCAGCATCATTATTTGTACAAGGCAATCATGAGTTGAGCAGTCGAGAAGATAAAAAAGGGCTGCAGTTGATGCATCAAAGCAATTTGGTAGCTGCTTCAACACTATGGTTTTTAGTGCCACAAACCTTTATCAGTCTCATTCACCAGTTATATGACAACGCTACTTGCCAAGTGATTCACAATGGAAAGCTCAGTGATGCCTTTCAAGCGGAAAAAAGAGGAGAGACAAGGTTGCCGCCTACTATCACCGATCATCTTCCAGATTGTAGTCGACTGAAATGGATCATGCAGCAAACCGTCAGAAGTAAGACTATGCTCATAATCTGTTTGACAAATGAAAACACACTAGAAGATTTGGATCTCGCCAACGATGATCATTTATGTCTAATGTCCCACAAACTCGAACATCAACAGGCAAAAACCAACAAGTTTACTGAAGAGTTAGGGCAGCAAAGATGGAACTTCCTTCAGGCGAACATAGAGAAGATACAGGTGATGAAGATATCCAACCAACAACAACAACAACAAGAAGCACCAATCACCATGAACAGGAGAAACTTAAAGGAGGTAGTCACTTTCACCAAACTAACTAACTAACTACCATATCAGCACCGTTCCACTACAGGTGGCACAGGAACAGATAAGAAGAACAAAGCTAGTTAGGATCTGAAAGACAGCAAGACAGACCTTCCTGCAATAACCTGAAATCACTGTGAAGATCTACTTCACTGCACTGCACTGCACTGCCTTGTACTGTACTCAGCATAAAGCGTGAACAAGATCCACATTTCCAACACTAATTCACTCAAGTAAGTCAGTGCTTCCATGTGGTGGTTGAGAGACTTGGCGCATTATGGAAAGCATTTCCAGCAAACTGTAGACGTTCATTAACATCTGACGCCTACACTAACTCACTCGATTCTGACACTGAAGATCAAATAACCGGAATTATAGGAATAGTAAGTGAAGATGGATTGTGTTAGACATAGACTGAGAAAACCGATTGGGGACATCACGCATCAGGTCAGGCCCTTGAGTGAAACCAGGTTGAAAAGACTACAGCGAAGAGAATGGAGTGGCGACGTGCTTATGAAGATTAGTTTACTATTATGAACCGTATTGTTGCAGAGTTCAACAACTCTGGTTATAATGCACTCAATTTTCGACTGTCCAATATTACTGACTTTTCACTGTCGTCTTCTTGATATATGAACCTCATTCACTAGCACGAGTTTAAACCTTTAGATTTCCAAAAGTTTCTTCAAGAACAATGAGAAATTAGTGCGAAACAGAGGAAGAGTAAAGAATTAATTAGTAAACTTTTCATTCCTCCGAAATTAACTTTATTTCAAAACGTTGCTTCACAAATAATTCAGTTGAGAAATTAGGCGACCATAACATTCACGCAAGTGTAGAACTTGGGCACTGTAGTAGAATATAATTCTATATTACATTCATTTATTCGATGCATAACACATACTGATAAAGTATTATTTACCTGATATGACTATGGATAAATGTTATATCCGAAATTTAATCCACCAAACGATATTGTTACACTATGTGATGAATTTACTAAATCAACTAAAATGGAATAACATTCTACCACAGTGCTCAAGTTTTACTCCTATATTCAGATAATCTAAGAAATATTAACAAATACTCATATGAAATCAAGACTAACTTGACAGCATTAAAGTAGGACGAAGATGATTGGTAACCTACTAGTTATTATGAAATTGTTTGGTGTATATGCTTACTTTCACGTTTACCTGAATCATTAGTTGACTGATAACTCTCATTTAGCATTCTTATATCCAGCGCAACTGCACGTAGATAGTATTTCGCCTTTCTTTTTTTGGACTTGCTTTAATCCTTGAATTCTGATATCTTTCAGAAGTAACTTTATATCTTGATCTGTTAAGAAATAAGCATGTATTTTGATAACATATGAGTGTATTCAATTCGTAGTATGACGATACATTTTCTTCTCAACTCAGCCTTATTCTCCTATTCGTTTTCACTACAACTACTCTCTTACTGAGGTACAACTACAAACCATTCATAAATCAACACATGAAAGACTGAAATTACTAAAAGTCTTTTCCTTCTGAAGCCTTTTTTTTTTGAGTTTTGAGTGATTCAATAGTTCAATAGCATTTCTTTTATGAACTGCTATTCTTCAGAAAATAGATATGGATTAAATCTCATGCAAAAGTTCTTGTGATAACTCTCTAATATAAAGTAGACGAACTGCATTCTCTTTGATACGAATATCGACATATATTGTGATGATATTGAATGGTCGCTATGCCAGGTCACTGGTAGACAGAAAATGAATAACAAATGCAATTTTAAAACCAACTCTGCAAAATCTAGCGGCTATATGGATGTGGACGTGAAATTTTGTCTGAAACTCACCTTTTTCACTAACTCACTAACTGATGTTCAGCACTGATGAAAAGTACTTCTAGTTCATCGGCTGCTTAACACTACTGGACTGTAAAATTGCTGTTTACTATAAAGAACTTAAAAAAAGGGAATATCATTAGTTTTAAGTCCTTATTGTTCAGTTTTTCATATGTTTATTCTTTTAAAATGAGAATGTTAACAGTTATTCAACTGAGGCAGTATTGGTATTTATTTGTTTTACACAGTTGTCTTTTTCCTTACGTCTTTATACTTCCAATGTTTATAAGAGCAAAAACCAGCTAAATACATATTAGCCTACTAGCAAAAGATGCTTTCATGGAACATACAGATAGACTGAAGACTGAAAAAATAGTGTCAGAACGGTACTGAAGAAAAAAACATCGCTACACGCTGAAAAGGTTACAATTCTTTATTCACTGAGTAGTTTTTAATAAAATAGACGAAATATTTTCGTCTATATGTTGTCAAAAGATATTTTGATATATTTTTTCTATGAGTTGTGTCTAACTGAACTTCTTGGTTTCCCCACCCATAATCAACCGCATAGTATAGTGTAAGAATATTAACATCTTTCACTTGACTAAAATATGCATAATGGTGCTATCCACAATATTTCGGTTATCAATAAATGTTGTCCAATAAGTAGAAGTTAGCAACTGAATGCATCCAAAAATATTCATTCAAAGCAATTCAAGAGAAATATACCTTTTAGAAAGAAAATTAAATTAAAGGGAGTTGAGTGACACATATTAAGTATGACCATTCGTTCATCAAATGCTTCTTGGTCTGTAGTAAAGAAATCAATAGTTACGTTTCTGTTTTCTTGTTAATTTTACGTTACTACTTCAAACCATTCAAATACACATTAGTTGAGGTAAGTCTATTAAAACTTCTGTGAGAAGTTGTCATTAGAATTTCGACGGTCATTAGATTCTTTTTAGTTAAAACTATTAAACTATTAAAATTGGTGCAGTAGTGCAACATTACTGAAGAGTGCTAGGAAAGAAATACGAAGCAATAAATTACAGGTCCAAACAACGAAAACAAACACTTATTAAAATACTGACTCTTGTAAACAATAATTATTTCTTTAGTAAATATATAACCAAATACACACATCCAAGACATTGATATTTGTGAAACAACAGATGAATAGATAGGTGAACAACACGTTAAATATATGAATAACTCAAGAGGGAAATGCAGCTGATAATAAAAATAGGGATAATAATAAAAGTAGACTGTAGTATGTTGTGGAAAAATAATACTTTTTAGAGCATATTTACCTTAAAAAATACACTTTTTATCCTTTACATTCACGTTTAAAAGTATGGAATAAAGTACGACGAAGCAGTTACATACTGAAACAAATAGAAAGGATCAATGATAAAATGTAAATCACTCAATGAAATAAAGAATGGTACAACCTATTTCTTTCTGTCTCCATCAGTTTGTTTTTCCTTTGATGCTGCAGCCGAAGTCGACATTGGTAACCTGTTCACAATATTAGGTACTGAATAGGATACAGTAATTGGATCGTCAAAACTTTCAGGATGACTAGATTTATTTCCTGATGTATCTATACTTACATTTTCTGTATCTGGAAAACTCCAATTGGAATCAGATTCTTGTTCCAATGATTTGGAGGGAAGTGAAATCGATTCATCACCTCCAGTGTAAACTGATCCACCAGGCATCTGCTCATCCTGAAAAGATACATTTTCCCCCTTTCCTTCGTCTTCATCCTCTTCTTCACCTCCTACCCCAGGCAAAGAAACTCTGTGAGCTAGAACGCCTTTAAATTCAGTCCATCAGCACCTTCTAAATCAACTAAACGACGTTTTTGTTTAAATTCCTTGCGCCTGGATATTTCTTCAGCGGTCAATTCTTCTTCTGTTTCATCGGAAGCCATTGATAGTCTCTGTTCAATAATGAAATATTTATTAATTATTTGTTTCAAAATATGTTTCAGCTATGAAGATTAAGTTAAATGTGCAAATCACAACAGAGTAATCATTTCATTTTACTCTCCGTCGTACTTGTTCCAGCATCTCAGGACCTAGGCTATGAATTTTCAAAACTTTAGATAGCTGTTCTTAGATTTTTTGTCACATGAAAGGTTTTCAATGTGCAATATATTAGGTATATTGGTTGCTATTCAGTGTTAAATATATTCGTCAAGTCATAAGTGATAATAAAAATTTATCGACCAATTGCGTGAAAAGAAATCACTGAGGTAAGTGACACAGTGTTGTAGTACAACTAGTGTGAGATGATTGGAGTAATGCCGCACCGGTTGGAAGAATACTTCACCCTGTCTAAGTTCAGGCACCTAGAAGATCAACAAGGTGCACCACAATGTTGCATTATTTAGCTTATTACGTACTTTTAAAACTTGAATGGCAGATTTCCATAAACATTTACCACTGGATGGTAAATACGGACCATCACACAATGCATAAAAAGAGTCCTGCATAAAGCATTCGTAGCCGTTATATTATGTCTCCTCTTCTACAGCCACGCGATTCTAGGTGCAATAAATAAGGACAAACTGCCTGATTCTGCCACTCCAATGTGCATTTATCAATTCAACCGCTCCTGTGGAGCTAGTTACGTTGGGCCTAGAATTAGGCAAGTCCATCGTCCAATTTCTGAGCACCACCAGTCATGGTTGAGCAAGGGACAAATTAGAACAATAAACAGCTCCCTACTTTCACACCTAGTTAACATGGAGCATCAGAATTATTCATCACATTACAATTAACTTATCACATGGATTACATACTCGCTTACTTCACGTAGCCGAGGCGATTGCTATCCACCTTTACAAACTTAACCTTTGTATTCAGAAGTTTGTTCAACCACTTTCAATACCGCCACCTTCAACATCATGCAACTTCTAATATTACTTTGTACACCTCTTTCTTTTTTCGTTTCTATCAGTATTCATTTATTTTCCTATCATTACGTAATTATTTATTATTTATGACTGAACACTTGTCAAAACTCACTCCATTTACCTGCTTCATATTCCCAATTTGAAAAACTCTGTTGGTGATTCACATCTTTATTTTCTAAAATGTCATCTAACGACCTACTTAGAACCCATAATTATTGGTCACCAACCCACCAACTGATTGGTACTTTGATTAAACTGCAAAAATATATTAATGCAGAGCCCAAAACGAAGACTTAATCAAAAAGGAATATATTTCCTCGCTCAAGTAGACTTCTTTCTAAATATCTAAACAGTAATATTCAGTGTGATAAATTTATCAACTCACTAATGTTATATCAGATGATCGGAGTCATAACAGCTCAGTGGTAGTCTCTTTGACACGAGATATACACTGTTTGACAAATGAAAACACACTAGAAAATTTGGATTTCGCCAACGATGATCATTTATGTCTAATGTCCCACAAACTTGAACATCAACAGGCAAAAACCAACGAGTTTACTGAAGAGTTAGGGCAGTGAAGATGGAACTTCCTTCAGGCGAACAAAGAGAAGACACAGGTGATGAAGATATCCAACCAACAACAACAACAACAAGAAGCACCAATCACCATGAACGGGAGAAACTTAAAGGAAGTAGTCACTTCACCAAACTAACTAACTAACTAACCATATCAGCATCATTCCACTACGGTGGCACAGACACAGATGAGGACGTCAAGGCGGGAATCGGGAAGACAGCAAGATAGGCGTTTCTGTAATAACCTGAAATCAGTGTGGAGATCTACTTCACTGCACTCACTGCACTGTACCCAGCATAAAGCGTGAACAAGATCCGCATTTCCAACACTAATTCACTCAAGTAAGTTAGTGCTTCCATGTGATGGTTGAGAGACTTGGCGCATTATGGAAAGCATTTCCAGCAAACTGTAGACGTTCATTAACAGCTGACGCCTACACTAGCTCACTCGATACTGACACTGCAGATCAGATAGCCGGAATAATAAGAGTAAGCAAGAAGGAATTCCGGCTGACTGTCTGTCAACAAAGCAACCAGGAGGCAATCAATCAACAAATGTGTGGAATAAGACAGTGGAGATGGATTGTATTGGACATAGACTGAGGCGACCGACTGAGGAGATCACGTGTCAGGTGGACCCGAAATGGGAAATGGTGAGTTGGGCGTCCGAGGTGAGGGTGACATGGAAGAGATGGTGTGAGGAAGAAATGAAAGTTTGTGGGCAGTCTTGGATTCAGGTTGAAAAGACTGCAGAGAATGGAGTGGAGTGGTGACGTGCTTCTGAAGCCTTATGTTCCACTGGGAACCCAAGGGATAAATAATAATATAATAATTTTACGTGGCTCGCAATATTTTTTTATACTGTGAAGTGAATTCATCTCAGTTCATTTCGGCTACACAAATGATTCGACTACTTTTCAAAGCATTTATGAATTTACTACATTATTAGTGTTAGTACTATTTTACTAGAGCTGTACTGTTTAACCAGTATCCAGATTTCCTACTAGAAACAAAAGTACCATGTAATTTTGTTCACCACACTACGATGATAATTATCACAGAATGTATCAGCTTTCACTGAGTATTAAATAAAAAAGGATTCTTTTATAAATCTTTCTTCAAAGTTATCAGTTCAAGAAATAACTGTTAGCAGTGAACAGTGATAAGGTTAAAATATGTATTCTTTCTTTGCGAGTTAACTTCGAAAGATGTTCAACCTCATAAAGACGAGTAGATTTGTGCACCTATGTACAACAATTCAGGTGTTCAACTATCAGTAACATTCAAACGGAAACAATTCTGATACCACAGTCGTGCAACTTCAAAACTACTCAGCTTTGAGAACTGTCAATGTGGACTCTGCAATTTGTGAATCATTTGCAAAACTATTATTCTATTTTCGGAATACTAATACATGCAAGCTAGATTCAGTAGATCTCAACTAATTCGGCTCTATAAAGCCAATCTGTCCAAATACACAAGTGATGAACTCAACCCCAAACGGATGGCCGTTCAGTGTCTAGATCATTCCAATCTGACTTCCATAATCTTCATATCAACCTGAGTCATTCATAACTACTTAAGTTGTTTGAAAGTATATTTCGCCTATCAAACACATTGGTAGATACGATTAATCAATCCCATATGCTTCTTATGCTTTTAGCACAATCAAGTATTATGAAAAGTAACATTATAATTTCAGTCATTAAACAGCTTGAGAATCAACATGACACCGCAAACAACTGCAGTTTTTTGAAAAGAATCTTGTCAGCTAAAATAAAATTAGAAAATCAACTGTATTTACTCCAAACAGTTTCTGTATCACATGACTATTTAAGTAGACTAAAAATATTCTCAACTGAAATTGAAATATTATTTCCCTGAAGAATTTTGTAACAGAATTCCTCGAGGAATGTTGAGTTCTATACGAACATAACCTGTCTAAAGATATTCTAAAAGCATAAATATACGAGTTGGACAAATTCGAAATCACTCTGCCTAGTATTTGTTTTACAAAATAGATCTTTTTCCATGGAAAATCTATGTTTGAACCAATCAACCAATAAAAGGTTAGCCAAAACATCAAGGGATTAGTCATATTCAGTTGAACTAGGGTCACATAACTCAAATTTCAATGACTTATTTTAATCTTATTAACTTTTGTACAAAATTGAAGCTTGTCATGAGAAAGGGATTATTAAGAAGAATTTAATATGCTAAACAAATGGTGATTCCAAACTATAAGTTTGCTAGGAGAAGTAAAAAGTAGGATGACCTCAGCAAAAATGATAAGTTCACATTCGGCTCTAAGGAGAAAATAACTTTTGTGTGTATGGAAAATGAATATAGTAAAAATTATAATCACTGTTTAAAGATCTACACCCCGACTTAACAAGTTATAGATGTCGTCATATTAGCATATACATATTCTCGAATACTCATATATGAAATTATCTTTATGTGGGGTTACGCAATACTGTGGAATGGTCTAGTTTCCTGGGTTTTTTTAAATCTGTCCAGATATGGCTTTGAATCGTATCAAATACTCACGCGAACTTTATAAAAGTTATCAACCTACCGCTGTTAATTTAACAAATATAACTCAGAAAATACATCATGGTGGATGGCAGTGCGCTTTAAAGCAAACCAAACCTCATCAAATGACACAACTCGAAATACTGAGCTCGAACTTCAGATTCTTACTGAGTAAGGTAGACTATTTACGATGCCTTCTCTGTTCTGATATTTGTCGTAACGCTTGCGCAACAACATTACAATAAACTTGGTTCAACAAACAATATGATGACAATCTTTAAGTGGTTCCAAGTTGTTTCGGCAGGATCTGTGTACTTCAAAGAAAACGTGTGGTGAACGTGTAGCTGTCTTTCTTATTAGTCAGTGGTGTCCATTATATTATGTATGTTTCACCTATTCTCCATCCTGGAGAGGCTGGATTCAAAACCATGACCGGGACAGGCTCGCCGGGTGGATTCAGGAAGCACAAATCATGTGCGCATCAAACTGCAACGCTTCACATCATCATAGAACAGAGTATAGAACAGCAGTCAACTCAAATATACCTCAACTTCATCGACTTTGAGAAGGCCTCTGACAGCGTCAACTGGATCATGCAACAAACAGTGGGGAGCGAGAAGAGGGGGATACGCTGGCTGGACTGTGGAAAACAACCTAGAAGACTTGGATTTCGCCAAAGATGACTTGCATCTGATGTCACACAAACCTGGAGATCAACAGGCGAATACTAACAAGTTGACAGAAGAGGCGAGGCAGGGCAGCGAAGACGAGACTTCAAGTGAATATAGAGAAGACAGAGTTGATGAGGATACCCCACCAACAACAACAACACACTCCAATCACCATCAACGAGAGGCACTTAAAGGAAGTAGCCTCCTTCACCTATCTAGACAGCACTGTTTCAACTA